ATTCAAACATTCTCTTGATAGACGAAAGTGGACGAATCGCATTCTGAAACTAATCGAAAGCTCACCGAACACTGAAAACATGATTCGTTCTAACTCCCAAATGAAAGGGATTTGCTTTTATGACATTAACAACAAGTAACTATAAAGTTGGCCATACGAATTCATCTTTTCTTATGGACTTCATGGGTAACAAAACTTCTATAGAAACACTTCCCCGTTCTGTTCCCGGGCAGAAAAGATCCCATCATAAACTATTCATTGCCTGTCTAATTAACGCAAATAGTTGAAATGCTCACAGCTCCAGCCGAATCGAATACTTCCATTGTATGCGGATATGCCACTGGATGCGACAATTTCCTACCGTAAACATCAATGACCTGAACTCGCAAAATTAATTTCTGAATCTGACAAAATTTCCCGGAACCGAAATTTTTTTGCAGTTTTCTTCACAAAATCTCCTAATTTACTGCAGGATCGCTCTGCTACAATCCATTTCATTCCGCTAATTTCACGAATCCGAACTCAACCCGATGTTCTTCTCTCAATTTGATCACCATCCACAGATCACAGTTTCAACTGCAATTCCACTGACAAGTTGAATCAAACATTCAAAAAATAAGAATTGAGTAATTTGGTGATTTTTAACTCACAGTCGGTTCATATTTGTCATCAGTCGTCGCATTTGTTGCAATCTGAATCAACTTGGTTTTACCAACTTTACTATCACCAACAACAACGCATTTGATTTTGAGGATAAACTGAAATTTGAAAAAAATTTCATTCATCAATCTCCTATCGCTTTCATCTGAATTCAGTGATTCAGTTCCAATTGTTGCGAAAAGATAACTTAATGAAATTTTCTGAGTTTATCTGCAAGACATTGATGCAGTAAAGAGTAGGTTGAGTGGGAGTATCTCACACCTTTCTTGATACCTGAACTAGTCGAATTATTAACATTCATCTGTTATAATAAATACATCAAAATCCCATTTTAATGAACTGAAATT